GGGAGAGCCCTGCCCGTGCCGGCGCAGCAGAGGGCACAGCTCATCCTCCTGCGGGGACACGGGAGTCACCGCAGCCGGGCTCTGTCAGGGTTAGCACAGGAAACAGATGCTGCCTGCTGAGGAAGCACCTGAGCAGCATCAGAGCGCCTTGTGCCCGCCCCGGCAGGAACCTGGAGGGAACGGGGGGTGCTGGCTGGAACCCCCGATCCGGCCCCAGCTGGGCTCGGGGGCATCGCCCTCGGACACAGTGTCCCCATAGAAGCACCTGCCTTGGAGGGAAGGGCATGGGCAGAGGCAGAGCTGTTAAATCCGAGCTGCAGGAGCAGATCCGTGGGCCCCTGGGCAGGGGCTGCTCCATCCTCTGGCTCCAGCTCCGGCTGCCCGGTCCAGCCAGGCCAGGGAGGAGCCTCTGCTCCAGCACCCGCCCTCTGCCTCAGCAACTTGCCTTTCTTTCTCGTTATCCTGCTCTGATTTGATTGGGAATTAATTTTTCTCCGGGTCAAGTCTGTTTTCCCTGTGTTGGTAACAGCAGAGTTACTTCTCCCCATCCTTACCTTCACCCTTTGGTTTTCAAATGCAGCCCCTTCACCACCCCGCAGCTGAGCTGCCTCAGAGTGACAGTGAGGGACAGAGTCACCTGCATCCCCGAGCAGCCTCAGAGTGACAGTGAGGGACAGAGTCACCTGCATCCCTGAGCAGCCTCAGAGTGACAGTGAGGGACAGAGTCACCTGCATCCCCGAGCAGCGTGACAGTGAGGGACAAATTCACTGCATCCCTGAACTGCCCCAGAGTGACAGTGAGGGACATTCACTGCACTGATAAGTGCCCAAGCTGCCCCAGAGTGACAGTGAGGGTCAGAGTCACTGCATCCCTGAGCTGCCTCAGAGTGACAGTGAGGGTCAGAGTCACTGCATCCCCGAGCTGCCCCAGAGTGACTGACAGTGAGGGACAGATTCACTGCACTGATAAGCGCCCGAGCAGCGCGACAGTGACAGCGAGATGAAGCTGCACTGATAAGTGGCCGCTTTGCAGCCAACTGCTGTTGCCACTTTTGCACTTCCAAAGGGGCTTGAAAGAGGAACCTGTGGAAGGATTTCTTTGTAAGTTGCTGGTAAGGACTGTGGGAGGACAGTTCTCCCTTCCACACGGCTTCCCAAGGCGCCGTGCTGGCTCGAGGCTGCTGGAGGGATGCAGTGAGCTCCAGAGGGGTCTGCAGAGAGGGGAGCAGCTCCTGGTGCTGAGATACCAGCAGATATCTGATTTGCTGCCCGGGTGCTGAGGTCATGAGGTAGCACAGAGGTGTGGGTGTCTGTCAGAGCCCCGGAACAGGCGAGCACAGCCCGAGGATCCCAGTGTGGCCGTCGACGCTGTCACGTTGCTGCAGCTGCAGAGCCCGGGATGCCCAACAGCAGCCTGGCCCTGAGCAGCCTGGACGGGATCTACATTGGCACCGAGTGCCTGCTGGCGCTGTGCGCCACGCTGGGCAATGCCCTGGTGATCTGGGCAGCGCGGCTGAACGCGGCTTTCCACAACGCCACGCTCTATTTCATCGCCTCCCTGGCGCTGGCCGACGCTGCCATGGGGCTGCTGGTGATGCCCCTGGCCATCGTGGTGAGCCTGGGCATGGCCATGCCCACCTACGGCTGCCTCTTCGTGTGCTGCCTGATGCTGGTGTTCAGCAACGCCTCCATCCTGTCCCTGCTGGCCATCGCCATCGACAGGTACCTGCGCGTCAAGCTGCCCACCAGGTGAGGCTGCCCCACCCTGGATCCTCTGCCCTCCTTTCCAACCTCCCATTACTGTGAAATGGGTGTTTGTGCCTCGGAGCCCACCTGGGATGGGCTTTCTGGAGAGCAGGGGGTGCTCAAGGAGCAGTTTCTCATGAGCTGGATAACCATCTCAGCTCTGTTATCCCCGACCAGAGTGCGGTCACAGGATGCATCTGTGGGCAGAGTGTTATATTTTCAGCACTTTTGGTAATTGCACAGGATGCTGTGTTATAGGGGTTTTTTTTAGGTTTCTGATGCTTGTCTTTTAAATAAAATTCCTTTTCGTATTTGCTGAAAATACAAAAGTGGTAACAAACTTATTAACAGTTAACCCACTGTTAATTGGCCTCACTGTTTACATTTAAATGAAAAGTACACAAACTAGAAAAGCAAAGCATAACCTCAAGCATCCAAGAAGTCATTTTTTTATAAAAATGGAAAAGGACCTGTGGAGCTGTAGAATTAATTTTAGCCCTACAAATGGCATAAGCCAAATAAAAAGAGGAGGGTACATCCAAGGAAGCCAAGAAATGAGATAGGACTTCCACGCGCAGCAAAGCAATATCCTGGCCAGAGGAGAACTAGGATCAGAATGAAACAAGAAATAAAATAGGTTAAACATCCAATTTTAAACAGGGGAACTTTAGCACAGTTCCTACTGATGCTGCAAAGTCACTGTTTCAAATGAGGAGGTGGGGCTTGTGTCAAGATAAAATTTGGGTTCCTGCAGTACCTGAACAGGTGAGTTCATCCTTAACTACCTTGAAATGCTTCTCTTTAACATGACCTGGGATTTCTTCCCCTACAGATATAAAACAATCACCACAGAGAGGAGAGTTTGGTGGGCGCTGGGGCTATGCTGGTGCCTGTCCCTGCTGGGAGGGCTGGTGCCCATGTTCGGCTGGAACAAGGCAGGCCCCAGGAGCTCCAGCTTCCTCCGCTGCAGGTTCATCTCCGTGATGAGGATGGATTACATGGTGTATTTCCGCTTCTTCCTGTGTACCCTCGTGCCCTTGCTCATCATGTGTGTTCTGTATGCCGAGGTCTTCTACATCGTCCGCACCAAGCTCAGCCAAGGAGTCAGAGGGGCTGGGGCTTTCTACGGCCACGAGTTCAGGATAGCCAAGTCTCTTGCCCTTGTCCTCCTCCTGTTTGCAATCTCCTGGCTGCCTCTGTGCACTATAAACTGTGTTTTCTATTTTCACCCTGACTCTCAGATCCCCCCATATTTGATTTACTTGGCGATCCTCTTATCCCATGCCAACTCTGTCATGAACCCCATTGTCTATGCCTACAAGATAAAGAAGGTCAGAACCACGTACCTTTTCATTTTAAGGACCTACATCCTGTGCAAAAAACCAAAGCCAGCCCTTGCAGAGCAAACAACAGACCCAGAGTCATAAACAGAGGCTGAAGCAGCCAGTGAGCACCAGGGCATTGATAAAGCACCTGGCTTTGCCAAGAAACTCCTGGGAAATGCAGCAACCGGTGGGTCTGAGGCTGCTCTACAGCTCCATGTGAATATATGCTTTTATGCAATATAATTTCTAAACACAGAAGATGGAAACTTTTTCTGATTGGGGGTTTTGGGTTTTTTTAGCATGAGGATTGGTTGAGTTGATTGAAAAACAGGATAAGTTCTTTGCTGTTCATAATCCAGCAGCTCACAAGCTCACTGACCATTCTTGTCTGTCCATTCAGACTAAACTTGAGTCTGACCAGCTTGTGCTTCAGCCAGTGTTGTCACGTTTTCATGATAATAATAATAATAAAGAGTAGATGGATTTTATATTAATTCTGCCTGCTGAGTCCTCCCATGACCAAAAAAACCTGCCCAGTTTCAGTTGATGTCCTGCCTGGGATGGCTCAGAAGTGGCAGCAATTGTTACACCACATGGGTCAGACTGAAAAGAGGTTGTTAAAGGCCAGGCTCTTTTCTTTCTCCATCTCCAAATACCGAAGCCGGGCCCTGCTGGGTGTGCGGGGCTGGAGCAGCACAGGGCACCCCGGCAGCCCCAGCCCAGGCTGCTGCTGCCATCAGGTGGCATCTCCAGCCCTGCTCTGACACTGCCAGCCCTGCAAAATCACCCATGCACAGGGAACGATTTTCACACTGCACTTAGAACACCGTGGGTAAAAACACCTGCATGAACGTTCCCGGGGATTCTGGCTGTCACTCTCTGATTGTGCATTTCCTTCATGGGAGCCAACCAGGAAGCACAGATTTGCATCCAAATGTTTCATAATCATCACTTCAATAACAGAAAATAACTAAGCAGAACACTTGGCAATCAAAAAAAAAAAAAAAAAGACCAGAAAATGTTGGAGTTGGTGACAGAAAAGGGAAACACGAGGACACAGATATGGCTAGATGCAGAGAAACATTTCCATTTCTCACGTCTCTCTGGTGGTTCTCACAAACGGAAACTGTACAAGGCAGGGAGATTTATACAGATGAGGAAATCCTGTATCGAAACTGTCCATTTGCCCACAGCTGTTGGCAGCCAGTTTGAACAGGAGACAATTTCCTGTTGTAACTACAAAAAGAGCTGTGTTACAGAGGGCATGGGGGCATTCCCAGGGCATTCCCTTGGTGTAACATCCTCGTGGCTTTTGATGTCCAGAAAGTGGGATCGTTTTTATTCCATTTGGAGCTTCCTCATCACACAGGCTGTGGTGTCCTGCCCCGCTGGAAGACCACAGTGCTGTAGGTCACTTCATTCTGAGGATGTGAGAGAAGCCACAGACATTAGAGAGTGCATGAACACTGCATGTCAGCAGGGATTTCCCACTTGTGACTTGTCCTCAACACCACATCCCATTAGCAGCCTGTCATGCATGGGAGATTGCTAAATGCTGGTTCATCCCACTGGCCAGGCTGGCTCAGGGTAAAGTCTCCTTTAGGGGCTTCCAAAGAATTTGTATCACAGAGGAAAACTGCAGACATGCTCCCCCTTTAAAAAGATTTCTCCTAAGCTGCCTCATCAGTGGTTGAGCCCCAGAACCCCTGAAGTTGTCAAAAGAACTGCTGAATAACAGTTGAGTCTCAAAGGTGCCTTTTCTCCCTCCCACCCCAAATTAATATTTACCACACTATCAAGAATGTGAAATATCTGCAAGAAGCATTAAAATGACAGTTGTGGCATTTACCTGGGTGTTCCTAACAGATTCCTCAGCTGCCATCTGGGAGAAAGTTTCCTCTTGTAAATTTTGGTGGCATCTTTTAGACCCTAGGAAGGAAAGGGATCCCAGTCTCAGGTGTTTGCAAGGGAGGGCAGAGGGTGACAGGCAGGTGATGTGTAACCTCTGGCACACACCTGCACAGCAAAGTGGCACTTTGGGCTGCCCAGTCCCTGCCCACCTGCTGGAAGTGGCCAGGATGAATTCAGTGCAGCCAGGGTTAGGATGAGAAAAGGCCACAACCAACAGAAAGCCCAGAACTCCTCAGTGGCAAAGTTAATTCTTTCCTGAAAACACCACTGGGACAATTCACGAGGAGTTACTGCCAGGGGTGAGCTGTTCACCAACACACAATCATTCAAGGCAGACATTATTTGAGCCATTTCTGCAGCCACCATCAGTCTGCTGCTATGCCCTCGACTGTGTCACTCACTTTTTCTGAAGAGGAAGATGATTGCAAAAACCAGGACAGTCAGGAGGATGCCAGAGATGAAGGCCAGTGACATGTACAGTATTTCATCGCTGTTGATACACAGGAAATCCTGTCAGAATCCCCAGTTTCAGCAGAGGGATTGAAGCATCAGCAGTGCTCAAATTCACCAAACTTTATGGAGTGCAACATTTATCCCCAGCCCCATGAGACTAACGTGTGTGTCTGCACTGAGCATCTCTAGGAACACCCATCCAGTGCACAGAGCAGGTAATTCTAACCAAACTTAAACCCCCAAGATGTTAAATATGTGATATATAACCCTTCCCTTGCAGAAGAAAGCTGCAGTCTCAGGAAACTCTGGGTTTGAAATCAGGAAATAAAGGTGCAGTATTTACTTATTAATCCCACATCTGACTTCTGCAGTTCTGAAATCAACTGTAGGGGTGAGCGCAGTGGTGGGGACAGGAACAGTAGGGCAAATGGGTCCTGATGTAACTGCAACAGAAAAAAAAAAAAAGGTTATTTTAGAATGTGCAAATCTCTCCAGCAGTACTACAAGCAACTAGAAGCACACGGGGGGCTGTGTCTGTGCAGCCTGTCTGAAAGTGGAACCAGCAGACAGGAAAATTCTGCTGCTCAGATGGTGACTGTGGCAGGCAGCCATGCAGCTCTTCCCCAACCACCCCCAGGGCTGAGCCCCCCAGAGCAGGACACCACCTCAGTCAGCAACACTGCAGCTAAGGACATTCCCTAAAATATAAAATACCTGGAGCTTCTTTTGAGGACCTGCCTCCCATTTTCTCAGAGCATTAACTGACAGGAACAGAAGCTGAAAGAAAGGCAAACAGTTATATTTATATACACATACAAATTTGTTATCCTCTTCTAACTCAAAAGACTTGACTTAGTTTCTATCCATTTCTTGGAAATCTTGTAGAAGTGGCACAAAGCCACTCAAACCTGGCAGTTCCTCAGCACCAGCCCCTGTGTCTTGTTCCTGTACACAGAGTTCACTGCTCCCTGCACAGCGCCTTCTCCACCCAGAAAATGGAGGATATTTAATAACTAAAAAGCACCTACAGGACTATTTTTGCAGCAGTTAAAACCCTGTGAACATTTTCATAATCAGAAGCAGCTTTGAAAAGTTCCTCCCTTGATGTTTTTAAGTTAAATTGACTTTTCCCACCAGAACAGGAACAGTAACTTTCTCCAATTTGTGTGTGCAATCTTAGAGATAGGGATTCTAAAAGATATTCCACTACAAAATCCCTGCACTGGCATTTCTCACCACATGCTTTGCAAACTGTGGATCGTGAACAATGTGAAAATATTCCAACAACATGAAAACAAACACCCCGTTCTCTGCTGCTGCCACTTTTCCTCCTGCATCCCATTGTTGCCACATTCCAGAGGAGTCAAGCCATGAAACCTCCCAGTTTCCCACACCAAATCTCGCAGAGTGTACAAGAATAAAAGAAACAAGAAATGATATGGCTCCATCTTACCTCCCACCATGGAAGTGCTGCTGGAAAACTCCCCAAGTGTCAGCACACCACTTTAACCACTTGCTGTGTGAGAAGAATCTGTCACACGAGCCAGAAGCTCAAATGTCAGTCAGACGTGGACTTACACAATTGTGGAAGTTAAGCAACTTCACTTTTTTATTTAAATTGTCAAACAACAGGAAACCATGAAAGACACCTGCATTCTCTGGAGCTGTTAGTCTAAAAAAGGAAGGCAGCTTCAGCTTAGGTTGGGCTGGACAAGGTTCTTGCCTCTAAACACCATTTTGGTGAACTGAGGTACTGGAAGTGTAGGAAAACTGTTTCTTAACCCCACAGAGAAATGGGATTGCAGGCAGCCCCAGTCTGCCCACTTGGGTTTGTGGACTCCATAAATCACAGCACACACAGGAGGACTTTATTTGTCTGTGTGCATTGCTGGGATTTTTGAGTTTAAACTAATTCCTTCAGGGAAAAGTTTCCCATAAAATGAACAGAATGATGGAAGTCCAGAAAAACCCTTTTGGAATATACGTGCCCATGTCCCATTTCAGACTGAGTACACACACACGGCCAGCTGAGGGCGTTTTTCGGGAGCCTTTGACACATTTCCTGCACCATCTCTTTTCCCAGAACCCAGACTTTCAACACGTCACAAGGCTTTATGGTGCAAGGGAGTTTCCAGCTCCTTTGGACAACAAGAACGTTCACCCAGAGCCCCTCGCAGCCCATGGGAAGGTGAATGGGAGCACAAACCATCCTGATTTTAGAACGTGTGTACAAGGACAGCAGGTATCTGGGGCTGCTATCACCCAGAGTTCTAACACAGGGATCAAATTCAGCAGCAGGATTTTTCTCTGTATCTGTGGAAGTGTTCCTGACCAAACAGGAATCCAACAGGATCTCACACACTGTGGTTCCAACTCATCCCCCACCACAAACCAGCTGTAGTGGCTGCTGTGACCATCCAGTGACTTCAAACAGACAGGCAGGAACTGAAAAGACAGCAAAGGAGGTTTTTTGTCTGTTTAATGATATTTCAGAGTCATACAGTATCCAAGAGGAGGTATTGGGACATGTCAGTGGGCTCAGACTGCTCGCATAGTTGCTTGAGCACTCTTGGACAGTGCCTTCAGGTCCATGATGCACTTGGCAATGCTTTCCTTCTGCTGCAAGAGACAGGAAACAGCCTTCAGGGACATTTCAACAAGAAAATAGACATTTAAGTGCACTTTTTAGACCTCTAAGTTGCTGATCAAGAGAGATGCAATTATAGCTCATGAAATCAGAGATTCACATCCACTAAAGCACAGATTCCTGGAATCCCACAAGGTTTGAGTTGGAAGGGACATCAAAGACCTCAAAGGACTGGATCCAGTCCCACCCCTGGCCAAGGCCACCCATCCCCTCCTGAGCCAGGATCCCTGAACAGCAAACCTTTGTGCAGGCTAAAACGCAAAGCAGGTAAACCCCAGCAAGCACCTGCTGAGGTGTGATGCTCTGAACAACGCTTTTCTCCACCCACTGGATCATGTGGTCCTGCTCCTTCTGCCGCTTCAGGTTCTGCAGGGCCACCTGGTAGTCCAGCCTCTTCTTCACCTCGTTGTACACGGTCAGCAGGCGCTCCCGGTAGTTGGCTTCCAGCAGCATTGCGATGTTGTTCTGCAACACAGCGGCACACGGGCTGGAGGCTGGCACAGAGCTGGTGCGTGCAGCATGGTGTGTGCCAGGGGCCCAGCAGGGCAGGCTGCCCTGGCACTGCAGCAGTGCTCACCCGTTTGGCATCGAAGAGGTAACTGCGGCCCTCGGCCCTCCACTGCTCCTTCTTCTCCTCCTCGATGGCCGTCTGCAGCGTCTGGATGGTGTCGTTCTTCATGGCCAGAGCTGAGGCCATCTTCTCCTGCAGGAAAGAAGAGAGGACTCCAAGCTTTAGAGGCAAGGAAAACCAGTGTTCTGCAGTTAATGCTGCAATGCTGCACTGAGCTGTGAGAAACGTCTGTGTGAACTGCCCTGGGCCAGGGCTGAGGTTATGCCAACAGAGGAGAACGAGGGCTCACAAGCAGTCATGGAATCCCAGACTGGTTTGGGTTGGAAGGAGCTTAAATCCCACCCAGCACCACCTCCCACTGTCCCAGGCTGCTTCAAGCCATGTCCAGCCTGGCCTTGGGCACTGCCAGGGATGCAGGGGCAGCCCCAGCTGCTCTGGGCACCTGTGCCAGGGCCTGCCCACCCTCCCAGGGAACAATTCCTGCCCAACATCCCACCCATCCCTGCCCTCTGGCAGTCTGATGCCATCTGTACTTTAACAAAACCCTTCCTTTGCAGACTAACAGCTGTGAAGTCAAACTGCAGTTTCTTCATTACCTCGTTAAGTTTGTCAGCAAAAGCTGCCACCTGAGGCCCAAACTTCTTGATGGCATAAACGATGACTGTGAGTATGCAGGCAGCTGCTGCTGTCTCGTGGTTCACCACGTAGATCTCCTTGGAAAGGAAGTAGAGCAGGAGGCCAGTGCCCAACATGTAGGGCCCTACAGGAGAAATGAAGCAGCACTACTTGTATAAAGCACAAGAGTATCAGTAAACTCAAATATCTAAGAAGGAGAAACTTTAAAGGCTCACAAGGTCAGGAAGAAGTGTTCTATTCTACCAGGACAAAAAGCAGAGCACCAATTCCACCTGGCAAAGGTGCCACAAGAAATCTCAATAAAAGTGGGAGCAGCTTGCACCTGACATGGGACCTGCTGCTTCTGCTCATTCAGAAACATGCAGAATTTAAATTTTTTAAGGACCATCAGGCAACTAAATCTTTCTATAAAATCAAGCTCACGGAATTCTTTCAACCATTAGGTGACTAACTTTAGAGCCAGAGTCCTACAGCGGATTGTTATTCACAACCTGCACCTGCAATATACTCATTTTGAGTAATATTTTACCTTTTCAGCAGCCAGAACTAGTGAACAGAACTATGTTAACATAGCTAAAACTGGTAAAAGTCTATATTAACCTGTCACTCCTGTTTTAGGGTACAGAAACTGGAAAAACTCCTCAGGGATCAAACCATGACGAACTTCTCCTCCCTTCTCAGGCAGAGGTGACACAGGAGCCAAACTCTGCTGAGTTGTGTGCAGTGGTCTTGTGGTGTGCAACACCCTGTGAACAAGGAGAACATTTCCATTATGATTCTTACTTTAAAAACAGACAGAAACCGTCCCCCAGAGCACCCGCAGATGAGGCTCAAGCACATTTCCAATGAAATAAGCAGTAACGGGTGAGGCAGGGCACAGGGTGCCCCATCCCTGGCCGTGCCCAAGGCCAGGCTGGCCCTGCTCTAGGGGAAGGTGTCCCTGTCCATGCAGGCGGTGGAACTGGATGAGCTTTAAGGTCCTTTCCGCCCCAGACCCGTCCGTGATTCGAAGAAGGAGGCACTGCCTGGACACACCTCCCCTCACAAGTGGGCGGGACTAGATAACCTCCACAAGCTCCTTCCAGCGCCCCTGCTCCACACTCCCGCAACACAATGAGAAAAACGCGAGACGAAACCCCACAATGACGCCGTTTAAGCCCAAATCCCGGCCGGTACCCCCGGTACTCACCCCACGGCGACGGGCG